TGACAATTCCTACCCTCAAACACTCAGTAACACCCTCGTCATGCTCTCTAATAGAGCAAAGCCATTAAGTTGTCCCCATTGTAATTTAGATCACAGGAGAGACTTCCACAGTTTCTTTCAGGTTAAAATAACCGGTATACAGAGAGTAGGCAAAATTATTCCACTGTAGCTACGTGCTTAATTATATGGAATACTGCATAAATTGTCAAGTGCAAAGAATTATTCTGATAAATTAAAATACTAATTAAATAGGCTATTGCAGAATTTTGAGAACATTATAGGGCTCCGCTTCTTCAGGTAATTTGCATATCCTTCATCTAGTGAATTTAATTTAAAGGCCTCATTTTTTGTGTGTTTGGAAGCCCTTTTTGTTTCAGTGGAAGATTAAAAAATGGATTTATATGTTGCTAACTGGTTTGGGGGGATTTTATTGAGGTATTTTTTCTTTTTTTTTTTTTTGAATAGCTGTTTTTATTATGCCTCTTTGCTGATGAGTTTGTCAGTTCTCCATTAGTATTACAGGACTTTAAACTGTGGCCATAAAAAAAATAACTTTGATGGAATGTGCAATATGCAATGTTACCCAGAATTATAATTTCCACTTTCATGAAATTTGCAACAGAAACTTCATCTGCTGTATATTTTATTTGAATAAAAGCTAGCAGGTACTAGACTAAAATACTTCTAAATATTTGGGCCAATTTTCAAAGGATTAATAGCTTGTTCTTAATATCTGAATATATTTTCCCACCGCTTCTTCCATCTATCTATATTGACTGTGTTTTATTTTTTAGTTATGCATAGAAAAGGTTAAGTAGTTATATTCACCATTCCACAGCTTGAAGCAGCTGTTTGATATGTAGTTGCTGCTTCAGCTTCAGCACCATTTTTGACAGAGTTTCTTGACCTTCCTGAACAGCTTGTGGAGTTCAAGGTTAGCTAAAATATGCTCCTGTAAACGCCTGGAGTGAACACGCCAGAGACTGTCTGCTGTGTCTCTCTCCACAATCTGACAGTGCCTGAGCTTGACCATTTTCCGGTTATGATTTAGTCAATAACACCTCGTGCCTTCATGCCTCCTAATTTTGGCAGTCAGTTAGCATGGCTGTCAGACCTGTCCTTTGTGTTTTAGACAATATCAAGGGGGAAAGCAGGGGTGTTAAGCAAACCCTGTTCACTGTTGTTGTTTTTTAATATCAAAGCTTCAATAATTAAAGTCTGCAGGAAACCTATAAAAAAGGAGGTCAAATATGTAATAGTAATTACAAAATTCAGCAATTCAGCAGACCCAATATTTTCTATTAACTGCTCATGTGGTAAGAAATTACACAGTGGGATTTAAGCCTTTTTGTTTGCTTATGCCCATTTATTTTGCAGCCACTCTGCTGTGCAGTTTTCTTTATCCTAAGCTACCAAAGAATCATTTATTGGACCATTCAGTTTCTTTGAAGAAGGCTGTGGAGCTTTCTCATTTTATAAATCTTCTAAAATTTTGCACTTGGTAGAAATCTGCCTTTAGTGTGTATGCTGGGTGTGAGGCAGTCAGTGTGGTAGCATGGCACCCCTTTGCAATGAAATCTGCAGGCAAGTCTGCAACCATCAGTGAAATAACATCCTCCAGAGCCTATCTCAAGGCTGAAAATCCAGCTTCTTGCTAAATATTTACTTTCTTTTTTTGAAATTTGTATTATCCAACATATCATGGCTAGGCTTCGCGAACGAAGATTTGGGAAGGCTCTATCCACGTTTGTTACAAGCACGCTGGTGGCTAATGAGGCCAATACGAGATAGACATATCCGATTGCAAAAGGCACAGAAGAAGGACTCCTTAAGTGGTATATTCTGCAAGATACGATTCTTTCTTCATTGTCTTTTCTCCTCGAAAGTGATCCTGCGTGCTTTCTCAAAGGAAATGGCAGCGTTATAGGTGGTGTGTCTCCAGGCCTCCCGATTAGAGGCCAGAGTAGACCAGTTATGTTGATCGATATGGCCAAGGCCATATCGATGTTGTTTCAGGGAGTCCTTGAATCTTTTCTTTGGGGCTCCTCTCATGCGGCAGCCGGTGGCGAGTTCACCATAAAGCAGGAACTTAAGGAGGCGGTGGTCCTTCATCCTTGAGACGTGCCCTGCCCAACACAACTGTGTTCTCAGCAACATGGCCTCAATGCTTGTGACTGCTGCTTGTTCTAGAACAAATGTATTAGTCACATAATCTGACCAGTAGATGTTTAGGATTGTACGGAGACAGCGTTGATGGAAGCGTTCTAGGAGTCACAGGTGGTGGCGGTAGATGATCCATGATTCAGAACCATATAAGAGAGTAGACAGCACTATGGTTCTGTAAACACTGATCTTGGTACTTTTCCTCAAGTGTTTATTACGCTATACTCTTCTATGGAGTTTTCCAAAAGCACTATATGCCTTTGCTAATCTGTTGTCTATCTCTCCGTCAATCTTACCATCTGAGGAGATGAGGCCACTTAGGTAATTAAACTGCTGGACTGATTTAAGATCTGATTGGCCAATGGTGATATGGGGATGATGGAAGACTTCCTGAGGTGCAGGTTGATAGAGCACTTCTGTCTTCTTTAAGCTGACTTCCAGCCCAAAGAGCTCAGCAGCATCTGCGAAGCAGGATGTTAAACGCTGCAGGGCTGCTTCTGTGTGGGCAACAAGGGCGGCGTCATCAGCATAAAGCAGCTCCCGGACAAGATGGTTTAAGGTCTTGGTGTGGGCCTTCAGACGCCTTAGATTGAATAGGTTTCCATCAGTATGATATCGAATGTAGATACCGTCCTGATCATCGAGGTCTGCCGGTGCCCTTTGGAGCATCATGCTGAAAAAGACAGTGAAAAGGGTTGGAGCAAGAACGCAGCCTTGTTTCACAGCATTCTTTATTAGAAAGGGCTCAGAAAGTGCATTGCCATATCTAACTTGGCCATGCTGGTTTTTTAGGTGAGATGCAGTATGCGTGGAACTGAACCCACCCTTTAATCCTAAAGTTCATCTGCCAGGGCCGAACAAGCTTGGACGGTGGCAGTGAGGTCCTCAGGATGCAGGTTTGATTAGAGTGACCTTCTCTTAGATGGATGGCCTTACAGGGCTAAGCGAGCTCCATCTGCCCAGGTTTGGGATTAGAGTTGTCCTTCTCCTAGGATGACTACCAGAAGGCTAACGAGCTCATCCTGCCCAAGGAGGTATTGTATATGCAAAACATAGCGTCAAATCTCTTGGTTCAGGCAATTCTCCTTCTCATGTGGTGACTCTGGGTAGAATAAATACATCTGTGAATGTGTAAAGCATGGTATAGGTGTTAAGTATGTGAGTATTGTATGCAGTATTTAGGCTGGAAAACATGCATTTAAGCTTTATTAGCTTGGAACTGCATGTTCCTCTCTGCTTAACCGGTAGCATATTTAAGAGAAGCAAAAATAAAGATGTGTGGGTCTAAAAGGTGTACAGTACTTTCCTCTTCATTTAAATGGAGGGCAACATTCATCCCTTGCTGAAGGCAGTCAGAAAAGTTTCTGTGTATTAGAATTGCTTGAGGTTTAACTTTTTGAGTCTTTGCACATACAAACTCTTACCAAAATCTTTCCGTAAGAGGTGAGATGGAGCCTAATTATCCAACTCGCCTCTGAAACAAGTGTGAGTCATTTGTGTTGCACTTTGGACAAACTAAATAAAGGATCAGTTCATAATAATCTTGCTTCTCGTCTGCTGCAATCTGAGCTGTTTTGAATATTTCAAATGGCAACAATTAAAGAGTATTTTTCACAAATGAAAGAAAAATATGTTAATTCCTTTAAGTATTTTTATGTAAATTTACAGTGCATGATATGTTCTAGCACACTTCTTGAACTTTCTGGTAAGGACGTTTCCTTTAGGCAACTTCAGTTGAGAAGCCGAATCTATCCAAATTTTGTCTGTAATCAAAGGAAAGATGTAGGTGCCTGCAGATGTGTGCAAAATATGTGGGATGACTCATTGTATTAAAAGTCCATCCCTTTCCAAGGACTGCAGAGAGAACCTGGATGACTCACTTGGATAACACAGTCAATGACGAGGCAGCTAAAGGAAGGAGAGGTTAACAAGGCTGCAGGGCTCCATTTCTACTCATAAATAAGTCAACCCAGGTGCCTGGGTTTTGGCCACAAGTCTGACTGACTAGAAGGTTGAAGTCTTCCCATCCAAAATGGGATGAGATTACCCATACTCCCAGCTAGGAATAATCTCAGCCTAGTGCTGTTCCCAAAACTGTGGTTGGGAACAACATATTGTTTTGTGAGGCTACAAATGGTCAAAGGCAGAAATCCTGTGAAGACCATAGATTTAAAAGTATTGGCAATCATCCAGCAGTGCTCAAGTTCATGCCCTGGGCATGTTTGGGTTGCAAGTGTAGTTGTAGTCATGGTGATTGCTACCTTTATTTAGCTGTTTTATGCTGGATTATTTTATTTTGGTTTTTAATGTTTTTATGATATAGAAGCTGATAAATATGAAAAAAACTAAATTAAAAAAAAAAAAAAAGACAAAATTGTTCACTGCATCCTGGTGTTGTGAAATAAACTCTTCATCTTACCTGCTAGATAAGAGTCTGTATTTGTTGTGAAATTTCCTACATAGTGACAGGTCTGTTGTAATGGCAAAGGTTCTGCCCTGCTCTTCAATGCAAGTGAGACAGTGGGAAGTTTCCACCAAAGAGAACTTTCCAAGCATATTGTGTATATGTGTTAAATGTGTGTGATACTGTGTTTACAAGGGACATAGAATTAGCTTGGCTTTCTTTTTTCATGTAATAATGAACAATTAATACCATAAATATGTGTTCAAAATACTGACTACCAGAGCTGCTCTCAGGGAAAGATATTCCGCAGATGACAGAGGTAGGAACTGTCATGAATATATTGATGAAGGAAAGAAGGTTGGTTGCAAATGCTGTAAAATCATACATATTCCAGATTTCCTGTAACTCTTTCAATCTTAATTTTTCCTTACAGCCATAAACAAAGAGAAACTTGAGAAAACAACTGGACTGAAAATTCTGCAGACTGGTGTGGGGGAGGTAAGTGGCTTCCAGGCATTTTACATTCTCAAAAACGTTTTAATTCTTGGGTTTTTTTAAGAAATCCTGGAGCTCATGTACGTTTGTGAGCTACCAGTCTGATAGTGCTAAGGGCCTTTTATGATACAGTTGCATCTGTCAAAATACAATCTGCTGCACAAATAGCACTGTATCCCACAGAGAAAAAAAATACCATCCTTATGAGAAAAGTGCAGCCAGCTTGAAGAAATGCAGTTTTCGGCTTTGTTGTATCACAGGAACAAAATCCCCAAAGATGAGCACAGTGACTGAAGTTCTCGTATTATTCCCCTTGGTTTTCATGGAGTGCTATCTCATGTAGATCAATGAAAGTTTAAATTTGGGGTAAAGAGTCTTCAGATATTTGAGAGAATCTGACAGTGAATGTCTTGCTTATTTTGGATGTTACTTGAAACATAAATAAAACATGTGTCTGTTATTATAGTGATATCACTAAGCAAAAACTCCACTAAGCAGTTCATAATTTATTAATAAACATGATGCTATCTGCTAAGAACCTTGTATGAACTACAGTTGATTGCTAATTCTCGTACTAATTTTGTGTACACATTTATCTTTTTTTTTTCCTTTTCATTTAAGTAATTTTGCTGGTGGTGAGTGCTCACAGGGCTAGGCAAACGCCTTTTCTTGTGATTACATTATTCTTGGTATTAAAAATAATTAATTACTAACTTCTAATATACCGAAGGAATAGATATATTTTTCTTTTTTCTGATTTTTGGGGTTTGTATTTCTAATTTTTATCAGTCTATGCCTAAGAAACATAACTTGACAAGATTTCTGAGGTTCATTGTGCAACTTCATTCACATTACTGAAAGACTTGGTTCTGAAAAGATAATAACCCTGAGAGCTGCTGTGATGCTCAGGGCCAAAGCTGTAAGAATTAGAACTTGAAAACAAAGATTGGTGAAATCATCAGAAAATGAAAGCCATCATCTCTACTAAGCTGATTTAACCAGGTATGTTTCTTGAGGATGCATAACCTGAGGAACTGGGAATTGTATCCTGGAGCATGGCTGTGCACTTTAGGGCATGTTCTAGCTTCAAGTCAGACTGAAACTTGTGTTTGTGTTATTTGCAACCTCTGGTTTCTGTTAAATAACAGGAGAATCAGGACTGTGGCACAGGCTATGGAAGCCTGATTCAGTAAAGTTTTACCCAATGGGACTCCTCACACTAATGAAATACCTCCATGAATTTTGTCCCATTCCAGTCATTGAATGGATTCCAGTTGACTTCAAAGTCCACTGGAAAATGAAAGCCCACTTCAGATGCTTAGTGTTAAATCAACTGTTATATGTGGTCAATGGAGAAAGAATGCACTTTTGGATATTTGAAGTGCAGCAAGGTGTCACTGGTTAAATGCATCATTAATCCACATTGTAGTAATGGGGTTGTTGTAACCATGGTAGTCTAAGGATGTACAGGAACTATAACCTCAAGGACTTCTGGTTTTTAAGACCAGCTAACAGAATTGGAAAAATTGAAGAGTTCTTAGGCTAGAGATCTCATCGATCTGATTCTTGTTTAATTAGTTTAGTAAAAGTCATTGTAGAACTCACTTTCCCTGTATTTAAGTTATCATAACATTTTAAAAAACTACTGATATTACTTAGATTAATAAAAATTTTCATAGAAGTCTGTGTTTTACACTCTGCCAAATATGCATTTTTAGAAGGCAAAAAGTGAAAGCAGACATTCTGGCCTAATTATATTCCAGGTTATATCTGAGAAAGGGTGATCATCAGAGAGACAACCAAGTGTTTTGAAACAGTGAGGTGATGGGAGAACATTTATTCAGCTGCTTATATATTTTGTTGGATATGAATTCTCTCAGCTGTGTACATTCCCCATTCTAAGTCTTGTCAGATATGATTGTGTACATAATGAATGCATTTCTGTGGTCTCACCTACATAAAAAATAAAGGAGTGCTGTAACCAAGCTGTTTCTCTGTTGATAGAGTATCAGACTCAGGGTATTTCAGGTTAAATCTAACTATGGTAATCCAGTTTTGCAGTTTGTTTTTTATTCACCCTGATGAATAATTATTATTGAAATAATGGAAAGTACGTATTTAAACATAATGAAGGAGCCTTTTGTTGAGTAAGGATTTTTTTACTTTACACTGTAAGAATGGAATTACATTTAATGGTAATGGTAAATCACAGTCAAGATGCTCAAATCAAAAGTACTTAGAAAAACTTTAGTCTGAGAATGAGAAATGGCCTTTTTTGTTTGGACAGTAGGTGAGATGCATGACAAAGTTAATGGACATATAATCTTCACTTTCAGGCCTGTAAAATAAAACGGATTGATTTTGCAAGGCAAGTTTCATATCTGAAATACCTCAAGAGAAATATAGCTGAGATGGTAGTGGCGAGTGGAGCTGCTGTATAAACAAATGCAGGAACTCTTCTAAGCTCAGCAATAATTCATGTGTGGCTCCGGAGAGTGGAATCTGTTTTAGGTGTTGATCTATGATAACAGGATTTGTGCCTCAGTAAGGAATGTGTGGACACCAGTGACTACCCAGGCCTTGGGCGTGTTAGAAGGAGACTGTCTCTGTCTGTGGAGATGAGAAATGCTTCTTAGAGCTCCTCAATCTCCCGCTTTCTTTCTCTACCTCAGGAAAAACGTTTCAAAAGCAACAACAAATTATAAAATTCACACCAAGCTTACTGAGCCATTCAGTCAAATCCAGGGAGGGCTGATGAATTGCTTTTGTGTCACTGCATAAACATGTGCTGTGTAGTCATTAACAACATGGGTCTGGAGTCTACCACAGCTACAATGGTGTTTATCATCTTTATGTCATGTAAAAGATTTCCACAGCTTCAGTGATTTTTTTGGTTAGACCTGAAGTTAGCTGCATTGTGTCAACGTAGGGTAGGATCTGTTTTAGCAGGATTAAAAATGTGTTCCTAAGCTGCAACTTCAGAAGCTGCTCATATTTCAGGATGCTGAACTTAAAAGTTCTGTACATTTCATGGGAACATTTGGATGAAAAAGTGCAAAGCACTGCCTGGACTTCTCTGCCTGCAGAGCTTCTTTCAGGCCATTATGGAACAGACCTTTACCGGTACTTCCACAGCACATCCACCTCAACATCTAACATTTGCAGTAGAATGTTCAACAGTACAGAGATCTAGAGAGATTGGTTTTTTGTATGCCGTATATCACTCTTAAAGTGCAAATTATTCTGGCACTTGTCTTGTTTGTAAGAAGGCTGCTATGCCAGAAAACCAGAATAACTCTGCTGTAGAGAAAACCAGGGCTGACATTGAAATCCTGAGGATCTGTGCATTGCTTTAGTACTGACTATCTCTGGAATCACGTTTGCCAAGATGTTTATTTTCTATTTGGAGTTTTCCAGCACCTATAGCAGGTGCTGGAAAAAAAGTAAAACTAAAAAATCTCTAGAACTGCTCTACAGTAGCCCTCCAAGATTTGAGTCATTGTCACGCATGTTTGTGCCACACAAATTCATCGTAAGCATTTCACACCTTCTTGTTTATTCAGGTACAATGAAGCTTTGAGGTATTTTCTTTTGATCTCCTACACATGAAATAAATCTCTGAAGTCCTGAGGTAATTTTTAGTTAAGTTCAAGAACTTCTTGAAGTTGAGTGTCTGTGGGGGTATGAATGTACATGTTATTTATGTGTATATTTGCATAATACCATAAAACACACAGTACTGGTAAAAAACCCGAAGAGCTAAACAGCATTTAAGCAGGACTCATGTCTCCATCCTCCTCTGTCCCAGCTTGATGTGAACCACTGTGTTTTGCAAAAATAAGAGTTGAACTTGTTGCTCTGCTAGGCTGAGCACTCCTGCAAGGTCTTGGGGGCAGCATTTGGTCCCACATGGAGCGAAAGCCTCCTTAGAAGCATCGTGGTTACCACCCGACTCCTACTGAGTTCAGGACGCAGCAGCATCAGAAATCCCAGTCCCATGCAAACCTTAGTCCAGGAGCTGCTCTCCAGCCCGGGAGCCACAGCTCTGCACAGGGGTCACTGAGTAACATTCCGTCAACATGTTTTAGGAACTTAACTACTTCTCTCCCTTCACATAAGCACTTTTGAATGATTGTAGGAGCACAGTATTTTTCTATTCAGTTCCATGCTGAGCTTGGCTGTGTCTGGAGTTACTATGACACGGATAAATAACTGTTTATCCAGCTTTTGGCTGAAATTTGTTTTCAGCCACAGTTTCAGAATAACAGGTCAGGCTCTCCAGTGGCTCAAGAAAGTGTGATGATTCAAAGCAGGTTTTGGAGGCTATGAGTATGTGATTTGAATAATCAAAGATCTGAATCAGGCCTTAAACAAACAGAGAGAATGACATTGTTTCTGTCTTGAACTGGTAAAGCAGCACCCACTTTGGAATATGTTATATTAAATTAACTCTTTCAATTTCCCAGTAGGGCTACACAGAAAAAACTCATCACTGGAGTCATAACATTGCAAGATTTGAATCATGGCTCTCATATGGCAGACATATGAATTAGATCAGTTTTCTGAACTAAATGGAAGTAACCCGAAATACATGTGAAATGGGCACTTTACCATACCTCTAGATGTTCTAAAACAGAGCAGTGATATTTTGACATGTTTCAGGATACTCTCATGTATAGATATTTTGATAGGTGTAGAGTTATGTTGATGTTTCATAAAGTGATGCTACTGCAATGAAGAAATCCGCATTTAAAAATTCTAGTGAAGCTAGAGGACATGATAAGGCAGACTCTCCTGTGATGTGCAAGCCTCTGAGGCAGGAGTCAAATTTCTACCTTACTACCTTCCTTAATGTTGCCAAATTTTGTCACTCATATTCATGTATGGAGATTTTAACTAGAATGACTTTGGAAATCCATAAAAAACCTGGAGTGCAGAACTTGACGAGTCATTTTCATTTGCTGAAGATTAAGGTGTAAACTTTTTGTCTGATTTTCTCTGGCTACTGGGTGAAATGCTAAGTGTTGTCTTTTGGCTTGTCAAGACCAAATTAGTCTGGGATCCACTCCAGCTGTCTC